GCAAGGGATGACAAAAAATCAATTCAGTAGCTGCTAGATGAGGCAAAGAAGAAAAATTTAAGGCTGATTGGAGTCAATTTAAAAAGAGTAAAAAAGCAGGAGATAGCACAAACAGTATAAAAATAAAACTGTTCACAGATGTCATGACAGAAAACTGCCCTGATAGGGAAAAAGAATTTCACATACAGATAAGTGAAGCTTACAGAACTCAGATTAGCCATGATCAAAATATCATAGTCAAGATTCCAGAAATTCAACACAGGAATAGAATCTTAAAAGCTGTTAGGGAAAAGAAAGAAACCACCTACAAAGGAAAGCCCATCAGAATCACAGCTGACTTCTCAGCACAAACCCTCAAGTCAAGGAAAGCTTGCAGTGAAGTATTTCAGGTTCTAAAGGAAAGCAACCTGCAACCCAGATTGATATACCCCACAAAATGATCTTTCAAAACTTATGGAGAAATAAGATACTTCCACAACAAAGAACATCTAAGGAAATTTATGACCACTGAACGAGCACTACAGAATGTTTTGAGGGACATTATAAAAAGAGATAACGATGACTACAACCCCACCAGAAGAAATCTGCGAAGGCAAACAATTAAACAGATAGAGGGAAAAAAGATGGGGAGCCAACAACAGGAAAATAATATAACAAGGATAAGTCAATATATATCAGTTATCACTATCAATGTTAATGGTCTCAATACACCAATCAGAGAAACAAACTGGCAGAATGGATCAAGAAGTAAAATCCAGCAATATACTACATACAAGAAACATATGTAATTCAAAAAGTAATTCATAGACTGAAAATAAAAGAATGGAAAACAATACTCTATACGACAGGAACCCAGTAAAAAGTAGGTGCAGCTATTCTATTTGCAGACAAAATGAATTTCCAGCCAAGACTGATTAAGAGAGATAAAAAGGTCACTACATCCTTACAAAAGGAACCGTCCAAGAGGAAGAGATAGCAATAATAAATATATATGCAACAAATAACAGTGTACCCAACTATATAAAATAAATATTAACATACATGCAAAATCAAATAAGCACTATTACAGTTGTATTGGGGGATCTCAGTACAACACTGTCACAAAAAGACAGATCAACTAGACAAAAAAATCAACAGTGAAATATTAGAAATAAACTAAACTTTTGAACAAATGGACTTAGTAAATATCTACAGAATTTTCCACCCCACAATATCAGAGTACATATTCTTCTCAGCTGCACATGGGATGTTCTCCAAAACAGACGACATACTACCTCATAGAACATACTTAAGGAAATGCAAAGGGATTGAAATTATCCCATGCATATTATCAGACCATAGGGCACTGAAATTGTAAATCAGTGGCAAAAGAAGCCACAAGAACTTCATAAACACACGGAAATTAAATAGCACCCTCCTGAACAACAAATAAGTCACAAATGAAATTAAAGAATAAATTAGGCAGTTTCTACCATTAATTGATAATGACAATACAATGTACTGAAACTTACAGGACACAATGAAAGACTCCTAAGAGGGAAGTTTAGAGCAGTGAGTACCCATATCAGGAAAACAGAGCAAGCAGAAATAAACAACTTAATGGTGAACCTCAAACTTCTAGAAAAGGAAGAGCAGGCTAAGCCAAAAGCTTGTATAAGGGAGGAATGATAAAGATCACAGCAGAAATTAATGCATTTGAGACAAAGAAAGCAATACAAAGAGTCAATGAATCGAAGAGTTGGTTATTTGAAAGATTAAATAAAATTGATAAGCTGTTATCCAACCTTATCAAAAAAGGGGCAAAAAGACTCAAATCTACATAACTAGGAAGAAAAAGGGGGAAATCACAATGGACCTTGCAGAAATCCAGAAGATCATCTGTACCTACTTTGAAAACTTGTATTCTGATAAGATGGAAAATGCGAAAGAAACAGATTCCTAGATACATATGAATCACCAAAGCCAAATCAAGAAGATATAAAAATCCTAAATAAATCCATGTTAATCTTTGAAATCAAAGATGTAATTAAAAACCTACTAACAAAGAAAATCCCAGGTCTTGACATATTCACTGCTAAATTCTATAAGAAATTTGGAGAAGACCTAATACCACTACTTCTCAAACTCTTTAATGAAATTGAAAAGGAAGCAGTACTCCCAAATTAATTCCTGGAAGCAAGCATTACCCTAATACCAAAACTGGAGAAGGACCCAACTAAGAAAGACAACCACAGGCCAATCTCTCTGATGCACATAGATGCAAAAATCCTCAGTAAGATACTGGCAAAGAGAATGCAGCAATTTGTTGAGAAAATTATACACCACGACCAACTGGAATTCATCCCCGGGATGCAGGGATGGTTCAACATACATAAATCAATAAATATAATGCAACATAGTAATAGAGCCAAGGACAAAAATCATGTAACTATCTCAATTGATTCATAAAAAGGTTTTGACAAAGCCTAGCACCCATTCATGATAAAAACCCTCAGAAAATTGGAATAGATGGTTTTTCTTTCAATCAGATAAAAACCATCTATAACAAACCAACAGTCAGAATCACACTAAAAGGACCAAAACTGAAAGCCTTCACTGGAGAATAAGGAAAAGGACAAGGATATCCATAGAAGACTCCAAAAACTCCACTAAAATACTGCTACATTGAATAAGCAAATGCAATAACTTAGCTGGGTGTAAAGTCAGCATTCAAAACTCAGTAGTTTTCCTGTACCTGCATAAGAAACTCAAAGAAAGAAATTAGAGAAACAACACTTTTTACAATAGCATAAAAAAAGATATACATAGGAATTAATCTAACATTGAAAATGACAGTACTCTGAAAACGGAGATTGAAGAGGATATATGACAGTGGAAAGACATCCTATGCTTTTGGGTAGGAAGAACCACTTTATTGAAAATGGCCATACTTACAAAACTGTTGTATAGATTTAATGCAATTCTGATTAAAATTCTAATAGCGTATCTCATAGAATTAGAGAAAATAATCCTAAAATTCATTTGGAACCCAAAGAGACTTAGAATAGCAAAGGCAAGTCTGGGCAACAAAGCCAAGGCAGGTGGCATTACAATTCCTGACTTGAAATTATATTTTAAAGATACTGTGATAAAAACAGCATGGTACTGGCATAAAAACAGACCTAAAGATCAATGGAACAGATTAGAAGGTGCAGAAACAACTCCAGACATATTCAGCCACCTTGTCTTTGACAAAGGTGCCAAACACATTCACTGAAAGAAAGCCTCTTTAATAATGGTGCTGGGAAAACTGGCTCTGCACATGGTGAAGATTAAAATTGTACCCATATCTTTTGCCATGTGCTAAAACAAATTCCAAATGGATCAAAGATCTAAATTTTAAAACAGAAACCTTAAATCTGCTGGAAGATAGAATAGGCGAAACTCATGAAGACATTGGTGTAGACAAAGATTTACAAATAAAACTCCAGTTGCACAGGAACTATCACAAAGAGTCAGCAACTGGGATCTCATCTTATTAAAAAGCTTTTGCACAGCAAGAGAAACCACCAAAAGAGTGAAGAGACAACCCACAATGTGGGAAAAAATGTTTGCCAGCTGTTCCTCAGACATAGGATTACTATCAAGAACATATAAAGAACTCAAAAATATCAAACCTCCCAAATTTAAAAACCCAATCTAAAAATGAGCATCAGAGATGAATACACACTTCTCAGATGAAAAAATACAAACATTACTGGTCATTTGAGAAATGTAAATTTAAACAGTGCTGAGATTCCATCTCACCCTGGAAAGAATGGCTATTATCAAGAAATCAACCAGTAACAAATGCTGGAGGGGCTGTGGGGAAAAAGGAATCCTGGTCCACTGCTGATGGAAGTGTAGACTGGCACACCCACTGTGGAAATCAGTATGGAGAGTCCTCAAAAAACTAGGATTGGAGGTCCTACTTGACCCAGCTATTCCCCTTCTGGGTATCTCACCAGAAGAATTAAAAACATTGTACCATAGCAATATATGTGCACCCATGTTTGTAGCAGCACAATTTGTAATAGCTAAATCTTGGAAGCAACCCAAGTGCCCATTAACCAAGGAATGGATAAAAAAGATGCAGTCTTTTTATACAATGGAATACTACTCAGCCATAAAGAAGGATAAACTGGAGACTTCTATAGGTAAATGAATGCAACTTGAGAACATACCCTTAAGTGAAATAAACCAGATGCACATGTGCAAACATATTGTCTCCCTAGTGTGAGAAGCTAAAAGAGTAAATAAGATCCAAAATGTATAATAGATATTGTAAAATTGGCAGAAATTATTCAAAAGGAAAGAGAAACTGGGATGGGGGAATGGAGAAAGCAAGGAAGGGAAAAGCAAAAATATATATGCACACACACATATACATGTATATATATATACACACACAAGATAGTTAAGATAGTTATACTACTAATTTCTCTTAGTTCATTGAAAAGAAAAATTTGTGCTAATATTGTTTGGGCAAATAAATGCCTCTATCTTATACTCTGAGTAACTAATTTAAAGATAACAATGTGCAATAAATTAACCCTTGTTACCCTGCTATTACCTCGTTTTTTTTCTTTCTTTTTTTTTTTTTTTCCCGGTACCAGGAATCAAACTCACGACCTTGCACTTGCCAGCAGGTGTTGTGCCGCTGAGCTAAATCCCCAGCCCCTATTACCTCGTTTTGAAAGTTTTTTTTTCTTTTTAAAATAAAAAAAAAAAATACAGCAGAAATATTCATGAGAATGTCATGCTTTTTAAAAGGGCATGTTTAGAAGTCATGTTGTGATTGGCATCCTAGTTCCCCATTTTCTTGCTTGACTCTAAGTAAATTACTTGTTGTCTTTGGCTCCTTTTTCTTATTCTTCATGTTATATGGGATGGATCTTTCAGGATATCATGTAGATTAATATAATGTATATCATATAATTCATATAAACATCCAAAGAAAGCACTTGGTAAGACAGTCGCTATTGTTTTTATTACTGCCTACAGACCGAGAGTCGGACCTACAGAAGTGAAACAGTATTGGAGAGAGTAACATAGTTCGTTAGTGGCACAAATGGGATGAGGACAGTGCATCCTCACCAAAACTAGTTTCCTTCCATGTACAGTGCTTGCAGTTATTGAAATTATGTAGAGCTATTAGTCAGCTACTCATTGACTTACACTGTTCAATAATACTTTCACTCCCATTTTTGTGTCCTCACATTTTGGATATAAATGTCTACTGTTCAGGCCAGAATCCCAGATTTTGTTTTACGGGTATGTGGCTTAAGGATACTGTCTAGTTGTAACCTCCAGAGAGGTTTGTCAACATCCATTTATCAGAATCCGCAACATGGGTCTAGGAGCCATGACCTAGAATAAATAACACAAGGCGTTTTCACAATATGTTGTACAGCTGCCCCAGGATCAATAGCTTCTTATCCGTGAAACCTCGTGATCTATCTACTGACTGGGCTTAGGACCCCACGTGCCCTCTGACCTGAACTGTGTTCATGGTGCCTGATCCCTTACTCCAGTTTGATGACAGGCTGCTGGGTGCTCTGCGGATGTGGCCTTCTATGGGGCCAGTCTTCATTGCAGCAGTGTTGTTGACCTTCCATTCCTTACTTCCCGTGCTATCTATGTAGTCATCAGAGAAGGCGTAATGAGATTAGCTGACATTTAAATAAAACTTTACTTTTGACAGAGTTCTTCTATATATAAAATCTAAGTTGATCCCCATAGCAATTATCTACCTGTATCACAGTTAAAGAATTTAAAATAGAACTAAATAATTGGCCCTTCACAATTAAAGAATATAAAATAGAATTAATTAATTCTCCCAAAGTCACATAGACATTACATGGAGAACCCCAGGTGTTCACTACAAACCTCATCCATTTTTTACCTTTCAGTCACAGCTTATGAGCTTCTTGCTGACAGTGGATAACAGAAGTGTCCTAGGATAAAAACAATAAAATATATAAAGTGCTATCGTATAATGTGAGACCTTTCCTCACACTCAGAAGCATCATGAAAAATAAAATACGGGCATGCCTTCCCCTACAACAGAGATGCCCTGCGAAAGGCACTATTAGGTGATTTCTTCACTGTGTGGACATCATAGAGTGTAAGTACACAAACCCAGGTGATGTAGGTTGGTCACCAGACGTGGCTATCTGAAACAACCAGTAGACACAGCAAACACAACACGTATGAAGCTGCTGCTGGTATAACATGATATGCTATTTTATAGTGAATCTTTTTTAATAAGTAGAAGGAGTATTCTGAAAAGTCTGTTAGTAAGTATAGTGTAGTAAATACCTAAACCAGTAACATACCTCTTCAATATCATTATCAAGTATTGTGTGTTTGTACACAGTTCTATGTGCTGCATTTATGTGACTGACAGTGTAGTAGGTTTGTTTACAATAGCACCATCACAAATGGAGGAGTCATGTATTGGACTGTGATGCTATGGCAGCTACAATGTCACTAAGTAATAGGAATTTTTCTGCTCCATTATTATCTCATGGGACCACTGTCCTGCTGGTGGTCCGCTGTTAGTGAAACATCACTGTGCACTGCATGCCTCTACTGTCATAATGTTAACTAGGGAATAAGTATTCTCTTGGTACCAAGCAATAAGAGGTATCTGATGAATGTATCCCTATTGCTTGTTTCTTTCAGAATATAAGAACGTGACAGTATTTCTGAATAACAGTGCTGTAAAAGTTGTTGTAATTGTGTTTTAGTAATTTTTTTCATTGTTTGTGATAACTATTCTGCAAGTCTGTATGGACCACCCCCACTTGGTCCTCCGGGTTGAACCCCCACCTATGTGCTGATGATTCCCAAATGGAAAGGTACAGACCAACTCTCTCTTCATTTTGAGCTCACAGATCAAAATTATTTGCCGCACAGGTCCAGTTGATAGTTCACGGGCACTCCAGCTCAGAATGCCTAAAAACGAAAACAAAAACTTTCTTTATAAAACTGCTGTTCCTCTAAATGCCTGTAAGTCAACAAATTCTATCAATGTCACTTCTTAAATACTTCTAGAGTTTCTTTTCGCTGTTACTACCAGTACGCTGTGGAAACTTTCATTGTCTTACTCAAACTGCTGAAATCGTCTTTCTGTGTCTAGTTTTATCTTTCCCTATCATGTGCTTGAGGTGATATCTGCACCAAACTGCTTGTAGTTATCCATATAGTGTTCTTTTTTTCAGTAATATTGCTCTGTCCGTGCTGTCATGCTATCTTTTCAGGAATTGTTCTTTTCAGATAATCTACTCCTATTTGCCCCTGCCTTCACTAGTAAAATTAAATTGTCTGTCTCCATACTGTATTCTAATTATTTTTCTTCTCAATTGCACTTGAATTTCTCCAGGTAAGGACGCTCTCATTTAATGCGTAACACCAAGACTACAACACATAACTATAATATGTACTTCATAAACGGGAAATTATCATATTGCACCTATTAACTCTTCAGAAAAAGCTTTGCTTGTTGAAAGACTAACATTTTTTGTTACAGTGAGCTTAGCCATAGTGATATTGTCCTGTAATTACTGTTTCAATCTAAATGTAGCTAAAGACTTACAAGGGCAATAAAATATTTTTTCTGCTGAAGTTAAATTGAGTTTAAATTTATATTTTAGATTGGACTGTTTTTGTGACATTACTGTAAAAAGATGTAGTATTGTATTTGTTGCTTCCAAACACAATCCTCTTTCAGGCACTGTTTATCAAAGGTAAATGAGGGAGTAAAAATTATTAAGATGTCACATGTATATATACTGATTCCCCAGGATGAACTTAATTATTATGTATTACAAACATATGCTATTAAAAATTATTTTAAAAGGTAGATAGAAACATTAGAAGACTATAAAGACTAATGTTATGATGTCAGACCTTTTATTAATACTGAAAAACTCAGCTCATTCTAATTTTTTTCTCAAATAATATACAATCTTTTGCAAGATAGCATTGATATATGTAAACTCACTTTAATGACAATTTTAAAGGAATTGTTTCTGTAACAGTTAAAGTTAAAAAATAAAAATAAAAAATAAAATTGAAACTAATATTCTATTTGATATTTGCATATTTGAGTATATCTTTACAAATTAAGAAACATATTACAGAAATACATACCTTATTGACAGAAAAATGTAATCCAAAGGCACACATAATATAAAAAAAGGCTTATCATGAAAATATAAAGTTTGAAATAACGTGTTAGTTTTAAAAAACCATAGAACTGACATCATGGCACCTTCCTACAGAGTGCAGAATACAAAATTAATGAGAAGTGAGAACCTTTTAGATAGGAAAAGGTGAGGCATCCAGAAAGTGACCTTAATTGCCAAATGGATCTTTCCTAAATCTGTTTAAACTTAATCCTGAGTTTTCCATAAGAATAGGCAATTCCAAGACAGGTATAGTGGTGCAGGGCCTTTAATCCCAGCACTCGGGAGGCTGAGGCAGGAGGACCACTGTGAGTTTCAGGCCAGCCTGGGCTACAAAATGAGTTCAGGGCCAGCCTGAACTGCATAATGAAACTCTGTCTCTCTCTCTCTGTCTTGACCCCCCCCACACACACACACACAAAGTAGGAATGCTGGCATCTTGAGCTCTTTCATTCATTGTTCTATCCCTAGTGCCTAGAACAGTGGTGAAGAACCTGCGCACATGTGGTATTTGTTTTTGTTTTAAGAAAAAGATGTTAATGTATGAGTTGTTTTTTCTAAACTAAAATCTCAGAATCCAGGTTTAATTGCATTGCTGGGACTTTGCAATAAATAGGTTTTGGGTTGCATTGGCCATTTGGTCTTTAAAAGGTTCACCATCATTAGCCTAGAACAATCAATATCTAGTAGAAGTAGGTGCTCTGCAAATGTTTGTTGAATGAATGGAAAAGAGTGTCCTCAAACAGGCCCAAATGTTCATTCCCATTGGCTTCCCAGTAATTAGAAGATGGTTTATTTTCTTCTTGGTTTCAGGAAATACTTGGAAGTAGAAAAATGAGGACACTATCTTTCCCTCTTCAAGAAATCATTTCCTCACTTGCTTTAACAGAGATCTAAAGGTTTCTATTTAGAAGTAGCCATATTTGCAAGCCTGTTAAGTATTTTCAGCAAAAGTCTTTCTTTTATCACCACATTAACACGCATGACCTTCTTTAGTTGGGACGCTTTTTACTGTATTTTTCTTTAATTGATGAACTCTTCCTTCTCAGGACTCAGCTTAGCTATCATGTCTTTGAAGAAATACCTCCTAACCTTTTACTCTGGGTTATGTGCCCCTAGTCTGAACTCCTATAGATTCCTGTGCTTGTCTTTTACAATTTTACAAACTACACAATTTCTGAGGAAACATATTCATTAAAGGGTTTAGAACTAAGTCACCTGTAGCATCATAGCACATGTTACCTGTTTTCAGAAATAGACTGTCCCAGTGTAGTTGATGCAGTTTGTCTTTTCATATATGTACAAGTGTGTGTCAGAGCCAGAAAAAAATATTTTTAATTTCCTGTTAAGGTACTCATGTTTTTCAGCAGTAGTATACCCAATGGACATTTTGCTGTTTACAAGAGCAAGTATTTACCTGTGCAACCCCACTTAACTAGCATTAGATTTTCAATTCCAGTGAAGTTTCTGTGGCCATTGTGGATTGAAACCCTACACATATACATGGTGGCCTAACCCTAGTCCTTGCCTGCCCTTCGTCCCTGAACAAAGTTGGAGAAGTAGGAAAAATACGTAACATTTTACAGGTCAAAATCAGTATAGACATGTTTTTAGAAGGCAAAAACCAGAATACCAGTTTTAAAACATTTATTTCCTATATCTTCTTTCTAAACTTTGATATACTAAAATCAGTAATATACGAAGTAAAACTCCTTTAAAGTTGGACTATAGTGCCTTGCTCTTTCAAAGTGCATAATACAATATTGTTAAGTAACCGTTTTAGGAAAACTGCTTATCTGATAATGAAATGCTATTAATTCTCTTCCATTGTGAAGTGATTGTGATTTTCTACTCCAGTCAGTCAGTATTTATGAAGTATAATAAATTTTTGCACTGAAATACATGTAAACTATTTCTCTTGCCAGAATAAAAAAAGAGCACATTAACATCCTAGAAGCATGAAATACGTACAGTTTTAAAGAAGTCAGTCTCATTTCTACAAAGAACATGAGCAATATAACCATGTATTCTAATAAGGTTTACATCTGGAGAGATTTCTTGTAAAAAATAAAACTGCCAAGGCTTTTGCATAGGCAGGAGTTAAAATAGGTAAAACAAGGGGGCCTAAAACTCAATGGATAACTAATAAGGTAAATATATAAAACTCAGCCTTTGTTGTGCTGGATAAAAAACAAAAATCCAAATGCATTCTGATTTTACAGTATGTTGCAACTCTATAGCAACAGAAATTTTATAACATTTCCTTATGAGAGCAGCTGTACAACAGGTTTTGAACGAGTCTGGTGTAGTGTTTAGTAAAGTGAAAGGGCCTGGGTTCTTTTATACTTTAAGTTGGCATTTTACCAAGGAGAAAAGTTGGTGATTGTTTTTCTGCTTATATTTAAATGGCATAGTATTGTACTTAATTTAAGTGAACATTATATTATTCTCATTTGCTGTTTTTCTGAATAAAATAATAAAATGAAATAATCCAAATGCTTTTACACCTACACACTATATTGCTGAGCAAATTATTTATGGAAGGGAAGGGAAGATAAAGTTGCTTTTAAGAGTCCTTTAACATATCAGTTTGATAACTAGCAAAACACCTTTACAGCCATTAAATATTTACCAAGACTTGGCTTTGGGCAAGGGGGCAGTTTAGTGCACCAGATTGACTCTATGCAATGCCATTGATTAGCTATCAGAAGGACAGAGTTAATAAGTAACTTTAAGTATTACAGAGCACTCTACATTCTTGTCAAATCTTTTCTCTGAAGATGGCCTTAAAAAAAAAGTCAGTTACAA